AATTGCCATCTGAAATATTAGAAGCATTAACAAAATTTCATAGCTTCGCAATTATACCGACTACTGTTTACAATAGATATAATTTTTATAGCATCTGCAATAATTACAGACATAGAATTGACAGCATTTGAGCAGATATAAAGTGCATTTGCTATGATAATTTTAATAATAAGAATGATTAAATGCAGTCAACAAAGCTTTAGAATTTTAAAATTCCATTGAAGCAATAAAAGTTTAACTCGTTCCACTATTATTTTATGTATTGAACTCCTTCAAATGCAACAATTATGCAGTTAAATTGCATATAGCATTTTCACAATCTGAATTCTGTTCGCTTAGATGTTAGTAATGCATCTTAATAATCATTAATTATTGTTTGTTATATTGAAATTTCTTTAAGTAAATATAAGTCTTAGTTTCGCATCTGAGACTATTATTAGCAGTGCAATCAGATAGCCAATAAATTTAAATGATTGAATATATTTGATATTACAATCATAATTAATGCATGTACATTACAAGCAGTAAGAGTATCACTACAATAAGAATAGCAAATTTTACTACTAGTTCTAGCTTCTTCTAGCGACCTATTCCAGTCTTAAAATTAGTACAAGTAAATACTTTCAGCGTGTAAATAAATACCCTCAACCAATTAAGACAAGTTTCATGAGTAAATTCTATTTAATAAGATCCATAATTATTTCATGTAGCTTCACTTATATATCCATCATTAGTGAAATTCCCATTACAACTATTAAGCCATCGAGAACAATTACTTGCACTATATTTAGTTTTATAATCTCCATAATTTACAACATGCTAGATATTAAAAATCACTTTCATCTGAATTTGCTGTAAAAACAAATCAGTACAATTTTTATGATTGAACACTTTAATGTTATCATGAGATGCTAATTAACAAGTACTAATTATGCATTTGTACTTCTATATATATTTTGATCAATTCGCAAGATCCAACAAAAGATTCACAAAGGGTATTTATAGAATTTCTGCATATCGGTCCTCCATCAATTTTATCTTTTCCATAATTAATATTGTTTATTACACTAACTTAAGCAATTGGTTACCTATTCTGCAAAATTAGAATGATTCAAAATGGAAATGCTAAATTTGTTTTAGAGCATATTTTAGTAGTACAAATTTGTTCATTATTTTTGTGCAAATCAAAGAATATGCCCACAATTAGAATATTCATATTAATACTTTGTTGGAGCACTTGCCTATGTTCTGCTTTCTTAACATACAGAACCTGTTCCACTAAAAGAAGGATGCATTCCATTCTATTTGTGTAAATGATGTACATAACCTTCAGAATTAGTACAAGTTTTTACTTCTGTATATTTACACTATTTACTGCGCATTAAAACAACTAATTCTCACTTGATTAATGAGAGGAATAAGAAAAAATCCTTTATGATTGTCAACATGTTCTCAATTCACAATTAGTTGAACCTAAATTGTTTGTACTCTTTTATAAAATGAGAACAAGTATTATGATTAAAATTTGTCATACCTGATGTTGATATGCATGTTTTATTTGTACAATAAGTTCCTCTTACAAATTCACAAGTTTATAGATAATTATTACAATTAGGAATATTTGTAGCTCAATTAGGGCAAGCATTGATTAATAAGCACTTTCATCTACATTAGCTTAACGTTTTAACAATCTTGCTGAAAAATTGGAATTTAGCGATCATAATTTTTGCATATTTTAGTTTACAACTTATTTTATAGCAAGGGATAGTAGTTGGAGATTAACAAGTATTACAAATATCATGAGTCTAAAAATAAAGTATTCTATCCATAATTGGTACATGTTCTAGCTGTACAAGCTGAATTTGTAATAGTACAATATGATAACTGATTAGTACAATTAGTATAATGAAAAATTGTAACTTTATTACCATTATTGGTAAAGATTCTATCACTCTTATAAGCATTCAATTCATCATTTAAGTATTCCCTGAATAATGTTGAGCTTGTAGAATTGTTGAATATTTTAACATTTGAACAATACGTATATGTATTATTAATACATTGCTAGTACAAGTTCTTTTAGCCTCACAAACAATATTCACTAAATAAACATTACATAATATAATGGCAACCAATTATTACAATTAGTTTAATTAAAAACCTAAATTGAAAATAATATGATTAATTACAAGTCTTTTCAGTTTAAGCATCATTTACCAAAAGCAAAATGATAATTTGAGTAATTGCTATAACATTAATAAAAATTAACATAATAAGCACAATTTTTGATGTTCTAAATTTTACTTGTTGGGGCATCAACTAGATGAAGACAACAATTAATAATAATCAAAAGAGAAGTATTCATTTCAGAATTTCATACAACACTTTTAGATTTTTTAGAGTAAAATGTATTAAAGAGAAGCGATGTATAATTAATTTTGAATTTTTCAAATAGAATTCCTTAAAAGAATAAAACTTTGTTAGAGGATAATAATATGGAAATAAAATAAGTTGTTAATGAGCATAAAATAGAAAAGTATCAACCTTAAGCATTTAATAGATAAAATTAATTTGTTTAAATTTAAGTTGATAATCTAGTGCTTTTGAATTGTAAATTTCCTCCATTTAAAGATCTAAACAATTCTTCTATTTAAAACGCTCTAATATTAGTTATAGCGATATTTTAGTATAAGTATTTAAAAATTTCAATAAATGAGGTGGAAAAGAATACTATTTATATTTAATAGAGGACAATGATTATAATAGATCTAATAAATTAAAAAACATTATAGCATTTCCTGCTAGCAATAATAATCATGATATACCAATCATAGAGGAAATCATGATATCATTAAGAAGCATAATTTGTGCAACCTTTTACTTGGTAGTTTCAGATATTACAAAAGGATTGCCAAGACTAATTTAGACCTATTTTTTAACCAAATCTAATTCGAACTAATTTTTAATAATCAATTATTTAATCATCAATTAATATGATTTGGTTTTCCAAAAAGGACTAGAACGAGTTTTATCGCAAGTACATCAATTATTAGTTCTGTAGATTTTAAAATGAATTAATCTAAATATTCAAAGAACATTTTTAATAAGAATCGAATTTTTTTATAACATGAGCATATGAGCATTTTCTATTGTAACAATAATTATATTGGCAAGTACATATCTATCAATTTGATGTTAATTCACATGACCTAAATGTTGTATAATATATTGCTTTATTATGTCATAAAACCTTAAATGCCAATAGAAACTTAGTAGAAGAAGATAAAATGTGGAGCATTCTTAATGAGCATCATAACTAATATGAACAGGAGCTTTGGCGCAATTTTTATTTCAACAAGTTCCAACATAAGCAAGTGATTCTCCAAATGATTTTTTTTAATGTTTGTGTAAATTAAGTATTTGTACTCATCTTTCAAAAACTTCTTGGTTTTAAAACACATCATTATCCACTAGGAGTAGGAGTAATAATGCATCAAGTTAAATAAGCATTACATTC